ACTCCGTGGCTCTGTCATCGAGATAGAGGTTACGTCACGGTAGGGAGGTAGGGATATTTGAATCTTTTGTTTTTGGGCTACAAAGATGGGTGTAGGTATTGTATATGCATACTAAAGTTATGGTAAGTATTACATCATGAAAATTGGTTTTACTTCAAAAACCTCAAGCTCATATACCTACATATACCTACATGTACCTGAGAGACCACTTTGTGTTATCAGGAAGGGGTGGTCTGTTTTATTTCACTGTCCTGATATCTGTGACAGTTAGATGGTGACCAGAATAAGAAAAAGGGGTTACCATTTTAGTGCCTTTCCACAGGAACGTAATACTTTATAGAATCATTACAACACTATTGCAACAAATCCAGACAGTAAAAAACGCAACTTCCCGTTTTGTTATTCATACACAACAGAGACCACTTAACATCTACCAAGATGTCCATGCACTTGCTACCAGAAGAAAACCATCCTTATTTGTGTGTATTGAATAATCTTCAAGGAACTTGTGTTACCTTATGTTCGAACAAGACTACTCGGGTCACAGTCTGGCGCCTTACTGACTGCTCGGAAAACTGGCATCGTCAGGTACGGAAACTGATGTTTTAACAAATCAGCAACAGAATTATTGAACAGCCTCCGTACCTCCCTCTGGACATGTGGATCATTAGCTGTGTTAAGGAGTCTTTGAAAACCAATCTCTCAAAAACAACTTCTAAGCTTGATACTATTCCCAAGTTAACTGTTGATGTTTAGTTTGAATATTTTTCTCTTTTATCTTTACAAATACTGTAGTTTCGGATGTATTTATGTGAATTGCTTTAGTGATTTTTTTCTATAAATTGATAGGACAGTGTAAAAATTTTGTAAATAATTACTACTTTTTAAGTAGAATAAACTTAAGTAGTATAAGTTGAGGTCATTTAAATAGCAAACTGTGCAAACATTTGACAGAGAGAAAGAAAAGGTTGTGATTTCAATGGACTTGGGACCCGTCAGTATCGACTGCCATTCCTACTTACTGCCGATTTTTCTACCCAGAAATTGTAATGCTTAGTATCAAAATGAAATAAGAAGCACAGCTGTGAAGTCAAACTCTTCTTTGCGATTGTGACTGGTACAGTGGAACCCCTTACCTCAACGCTTTTTTAAAACCAACCCTTTTGCATTCTTAAACCACTTGTCCATACTGTATAACATGAAAGGTTTGTTGTGCATAAACTTGTATGTGTATAAAAAACTGTAAGTATTTTCGCAGCAAATTAACAATTCCGGATTTCATCAGACTGTGTTCCTATTTTAGTTTATATACCGATTTCACATTTCTGAGTGATATTTACAAAGCGATTCACAAACAAATACTTTAGATAATTGAACACTTCATTTAAAATAAAGGTATGCTTTTACATAAATGGACATGTGTTATCAAATTAAGAATGTGACCAATCAAGTGAAACAGTAGGCCTATGGGGCGTCGCGAGAACAGGTTAGTGACAATTTTTTTTCATAACATGATGTCAACACTCCCACCGCAGTTATGTTTACTTTACCTGTGTGAGTTTTTTTATAAAGATAATGTAGATGATGGTCCTTTTCCAAATTTTCCCTGCTNGAGAAGCATGGTTAGTGTGACTCTTTGTCATTTTAAAACATACCACAAATGTGTTCTGGACTGGTATTGGACAAATGATTCATGGAATGGTGGATATATTTCGATGTATTTGAGTACAGGCTAACCACGAAAGTTTTTACCCACGAAAGCTCTAAACCACAAAAAAAAAGTACACACGAACATTTCATGATATACAGTATATAATCAGTAGAAAGTCATTAAGTCATCTGATCATGAAAAGCTCTTTTTACACAACCAATACAATTATCTATGTGACGTATCGATGACTAGTACGATATGTTCACTGTCACCTTCATCAGACAAATGACAGTGAAGCATATGCACACAAAGGTGTAAAATGTGTACAAGGTGTCCACAAAAATAGATGTTGATTTGGCTTCGCTGTAAGCATATATACAATAGTTGTTATATATGTACCGAAATGACTCGATTCAGCTACGCTTTGTTTAATACTTGGTCGTAGTTATGCGAGAGTCTTTGAGCCCCCTTGGACAGAGAGAGCAATCTGTTCAAGCGGCAGATAAAAGAAGACATCTGGATACGCTGCAGTGGGCCAGTTCTAAATCGAGACAAGGGGGCTCAAAGACTCTAAAAAAAAAAGTGATTGGTTGTATAAAAAGGACTTTTCATAATCCATACTTACCAACCTGAAGAAAATGTTTAGAAATATTAAGTCATCTGGTCATAGAGCAACAGGGCTTTTGCAATAGTGTCTCAATGGCTGAATAAAGGCCCTGTTCCCAATGGAAATTAAGCATACATTTTCCAATTTCTAGATTTTTTTAACAATCACAAATGTATAATTTTTTTCTGAAAATAAAAGTTTTAAGTAAATGCAGAGACTTCTTAAGGAAAAGAAAAACATTCCTTTAATTGAAATATTGGTCTGAGTTTTTGTATAAAGATAATGTAGATGATGGTCCTTTTCCAAATTTTCCCTGCTTAATCAGTGTAATATCTCTAAGACATTTAGTCACCTGTCCACATGTAATCTATAAAGTGTTTTTTAGTCTTTTAGTTTTTTGAACTTTCATTTTAAGGCGTTAACCGAAATGGTGCTATTTCGTGAGTTGACATAGTTAGCGTCTGGATAAACATAAGATTAAAGAGTACTATAGCAGTACGCACAGTCTAGATAACAGTGGTTAGGGAAGTTTACCGACACACAGATTTGTTCAACTTTCTTGTCTCGGTATATACTGTATAATTAGGATCGGGCAGGAATTGACAAAGACATGCAAAGTAAGCATTGTTTGACACATAGCTCACTGTGACCTGTACATAATGATAGAGCTAAGTAATACCTACAATTCTGTAGGAACAAGTGGTGAGGCCGGGGGGAACCACTTCCCATCAATATCACTTAAACAGGTTCTATCTCCTGTAAGATGTATTATGAGACGTAAGTGATCCCTTTGTGTATTTGATGTGAGACCCCGTCAGCTTCACCTAGAACCTTTCCTTGATACTATGGTCAGTTGTACCTGGAACATTGTTCTGACACCAATGTCAATTTCATTTGGAATATTTTCCTGATACTTATGTCAGCTTTTCCTTGAATCTTTCCCAGAAACTAAGATCATTTTCACCTGGAATCTTGCTTGCTCTGATAGCAATATGAATTTAATCTAGAACCTTGTTCTGATACCAATCAGCTTCATCTAGAACCTTGTTCTGATACCAATCAGCTTCATCTAAAACCTTGTTCTGATACCAATGTCAAGAACTTGATCACATCTTCCGTATACTATAGAACTCATCCTGTCTAAAAAGGTTTTAGTCAAATCTGATATACACCTGAAAAGTCAGTTTACCTAAACAATAAGTTGATCAGATCTGATGTACACTAGTTTTTTGTGTTAAGTAATATCAAGTTAATAAAATGATGTATTGATTTGATATACAATATACAAAACTATGTTAATTATGTAGAATTCAAAATTTACACAAGTTTTATCCAAAGTTTGTAGTAGAAAAAAAGGTACTGAAATCCAGGAAAAAGTTATGTATACATTAGGACTCAAAATGATGGTTTACACCCTGTCTTTTTTGAGCACATTAAACCTTAATTTTGGAAATTTATACACTAATGGGGAAAATCGTTCAGTAGCTAGCCTGTGAAAAAAGGTACTTTAACAAATATTTTGTAATACAGAATCTAACAATTACTCAGAACTCAGACATGTGGATAATTTCCTATTGTCTTTGCTCTGTTCGTGATCAATTGTCAAATTAATTATTCAAGAGAAAACAGGTGATTCATACAAGTTGATGACAGATCTAGATCGCATGCTAATCACTCAACTGTAAAAATGGTCAAATTGAAGATTCAAGTTAAGATATGAAGCGAGTGTACTTCCTGTTTAATCAAATTAGCAGTGATAATGACCCCAGTAACCTTCCCAGAAATGAGCTAGTTCTCCTGATTGTAAATCAGACATCTTGATAAGTATGCATTCTCAAATTCTTGTAATAAACTTTTCTTCATTATATCAGCATTGGAATATGAAGTATGCAAAACGTTTCCTTGTCCTCAATTACGTCTCAAATATACAACATCTCTGTATTGGAATGGAGTTTACTACAGAGATATCACTCTTTATATTCTTATTTCATTTACAACGTATCTATAAACAGGAAAATAGGATGTTTTTATCAAGAATGACTGACATATAATGAAAAATTTTAAACGACCCAGTATGAAAGTCCACCACATTGTTGACAGTCTGATGCTGAGAGATAAACCCATGTTACCAACACAACAGATTTCAAACACTTAAGGTCCAGGTTTATACCTACTTAATGATATGCCTTCATGCACTAGAACTGATCATAGGTGGAAGGCTTTGATTAGCCTCCCGTTTGATGTCTCCTTTGAGAGGAAAGCTTGAGCGCCAATGATGAGGAAATTCATGTGTTGAAAATAAATCGGGATATGAAACCTTCATTGAGATTAATTTTATTCCATTGTTTAATTGTCTCATGCAGAATTCACTGTATACTATTAGTGGGCTGTGGGCAGGTTGATTGTCGTGCCTGCCATTTAATACCTTATAAAAGTGCACTAGCTGTTTTTTTGAGGACACATGACATCTGTCCTTGAAGGCAGTATTCATGGCACTGCAAAAGTTCTATTGAATTGCTTTCCTCTGAGTTCAATTTCCTTGAAAGCCAAATGATGACATTTTCAATTTTCACACAGCAAGAATCAAGTAATAATTCTAAAAGGTTCACAATTTTTTTTAAATTTTGAACGTTTATCATTAGTCAAAGGGAAGAAATGTTATTCAAGTTTGTGACAATCATGTGAGTCCCTGATCTTTTTGTAAATTTGTTACCGACTATACTTACTTTTATTTATTGCCAGCATCCTGATCACTATTCACGAACCAAAAGTGTGGCCGAACAGGCGGTCCTGAGGACAGATGGACGGGAAGGTTTGAGGACATGTGCGTTACGTTTAGCCGGAGTGTATGGTCCTGAGGACCAGCGACACATCCCTCGCATTGTGGTATGTAAGAAATTTCTTTCCAGAAATATTTCATTGAAATATAAGCTTGTACAGAGCTAGCAGACTCTCCATAGTCTGTAGCAGGATGACTGAGTTCCTACGATTATTTCCTTCTTATACAAAAGTATCAACACAACTTTGATTTGGAGTTGGAGTTGGAGTTCAAATTCAATATGGCTCCCAGTGGCCATCTTGAAACTTTTGACAACCATGTGTTTCCAATACAGGGGAGAATGATATCTAATGTCCTCTTAGTAGAAGGTTCATTGAAGTTCAAGAAATCCCATGACAACAGCAATAGGGACTATGACAACACCAATAGGGACTATGACAACACCAATAGGGAATATAACAACACCAATAGGGAATATGACATCACCAATAGGGACTATGACAACACTAATAGGGACTATGACAACATCAATAGGGACTATGACATCACCAATAGGGATTATAACAACACCAATAGGGACTATGACATCACCAATAGGGACTATGACAACACTAATAGGGACTATGACATCACCAATAGGGATTATAACAACACCAATAGGGACTATGGCATCACCAATAGGGATTATAACAACACCAATAGGGACTATGACATCACCAATAGGGACTATAACATCACCAATAGGGACAATGACATCACCAATAGGGATTATAACAAGACCAATAGGGACTATAACAACACCAATAGGGACTATAACAACACCAATAGGGACTATGACATCACCAATAGGGACTATAACAATACCAATAGGGACTTTAACAACACCAATAGGGACTATGACAACACCAATAGGGACTATAACAACACCAATAGGGACTTTAACAACACCAATAGGAATGTATCAGCAAGTTCTTCATGTTTTAGCAAACTAGGTATAAAATCAGGTGACCTGCCTAGCGACAATAAAAAAAAAACTGATTATAGTGACATCTACAATAGTAAATGAAATAATGACATTGCTCTTAAGTTACCTTATGACTGAGAAAAGGTGATAAAAAAATTCTCCGATATGTCAATTGTTCAATCGACAAAGTGTTGTTTATCATTTCTGTTAGAGGACTATGTGTTGTTACCTGTATAGAAGGAACATCTATATAGTATTACATTCTGTACTAACACATGTGTTTCGTTTCTTTGTTTCCACTCCTGAATATGCCGAGTAGCTGAATTTCATCCATTTTTTTTGTCCTTTAGGCATTGGTGTTTAACCTGCCAGGGTAATACGGTATTAATCAGAGAATGCTTTATGTCCTGGCTGCTCCCAGATGTACTGATAGCATTTATTTAATGTAATCATCCTTGAAAATTTATCTCTTTTCGTGACAAAAATTCTGGCGAAACGTCAGCGATTGCATGCCAGACTATAATGCTCTTTTACCTAGGCAGAATCGTAGAATTCTGATGCAATTTAGATTGATTTAATTATAAGAAAAACTCCTCTTATTGAATATACAGTTCTACTTGCTTTTTTACAGCCAATTAAGTAAGTTAGGGGATTAGAGATCAAATCATGTGCATTTTATTTTGTTAGCGCTCATCCTACGTACATCACGAACATATTGTACTTTTACTTCAAATCTCTACATCCTATTTTCTTTACAGAAATTAAGTCAAATGATTGGATGAAACTCTCTCTCAGTTAGATGTAATATAATATCTGTATGATGACATGCCAGCCTACTCAAACATGTGATGATTAGTATCTAATATTCCACACCATTTATTGACACATAATATATATAGATCCAGGGCACTCCAGTGATCAGTGTTCCTTGTCAGACTCTAAGGCTTGGTGAACTTCATAACCTCTGAATATACATCCATCAAATAGGGAAACAGAATTTACATCAACGGATACCAAACATAGGTCAAACTAGCTCACTTTAAGTTATACCAACCTTCTATACCTCAATCAAAACTAACTTCTAGTTCACTGTCAAATCTAATCTCTAGTTCACTATCAAATCCAACATACAGCTTACTATCACCATCCCAAGCTAATCCAATCTAACATCTAGTGCACTATTAAATCTCCCTGTCTTCTTATTTACTATCATAGGCATTGCTAAATTCATCAAATATATTGTCTAGCTCACTATCAATTTCATTTATTAGCTTATCAAATCTAATATCTAGCTCTGACTTACAAGCAAACTTGACCTACAGTATACTTAATTCGGAGATACGGGTGCCCTATAGTAATCACTCTGTCTGTCTGTCTGTCTGTCTATCTGTCTGTCCGTCCACAAATTCTGTTCCTGGCTGATAACTTTGGTATTTATTGACCGATGAACATGAAACTTGGTCAAGATGTTCAGTTCACAAAAATACACATTAAGGTTTAAAAATCAAGGTCAAAGGTCAAGGTCATTAGGTTCAAAGGTCAAGGTCATCGGGTCAGGGGTCAAGGTCAAATTTTGTAGCTTTTCACTGGTGAACATTTCGCTATGACATTATGAAGCAAAGTTGTTCGGAATCAAACAAAGAGACACACTGAGGTAAAAAGTCGAGGTCAAAGGTCAAGGTCGTTAGATTCAAAGGTCAAGGTCAAATTTGCATCTTTTCACTGATGAACATTTTGTTATGACATTATGAAGCAAAGTTGATCAGAATTAAACAAGGAGTCAACTGACCAAAGGTCAAGGTCATTGGGTCAAAGGTCAAGGTTAAATTTTGTAACATTTCCTTGATGAACATTTTGTTATGACATTATGAAGCAATGTTGTTCAGAACTTAACACAGAGTCAACTGACCTTAGGTCCAGGTTACGGGGTCCAAAAGGTCAAGGTCAAGTTTTGTATTTTTCACTGATGAACATTTTGTTATGATATCTAGAAGCAAAGTTGGTCGGAATTAAAGAATAAGTCAACTGACCAAAGTTCAGGGTCACTAGGTTAATGGTCAAGGTCATTTGGGTCCAAAGGTCAAAGACAAAGTGGATCTCTGACTTTGACCCTGGCTCTTGATGTAGGAGGTATATAAGGTGAAATAAAACAAATCAAAGCTAACAAATGAGTATTGCACCGGTATTTACATTTCTGTTAGCCCAGCAAATATGGAGGTGGAAGGAAACAAGACTCACATCATAGTACATGTAAAATGTATATTTTGCTTCCTTGCGAGTCCAAATGTCAAACGTCAAGCTCAGCTATATGGGCAGATTGCTTCTTGATGAATATGGGGGATATATTGCCAGAAGACGGGGCCCTTACTGACCTGTCAGTGTTCTAGTTAACATTCAAAACTGTAGTTCACTATTAAATTTACCCTCTAACTATCAAATGTAAGTGATTGCTCATTATCAAATCCATTTATTAGCTCATCAAATCTAATATCTAGCTCTGACTTACAAGCAAACTTGACCTACAGTATACTTAACATTCAAAACTGTAGTTCACTATTAAATTTAACCTCTAAAGATCAAATGTAAGGGATTGCTCATTATCAATTTCATTTATTAGCTCATCAAATCTAATATCTAGTTCTGACTTACAAGCAAACTTGACCTACAGTATACTTAACATTCAAAACTGCAGTTCACTATTAAATTTAACCTCTAACTATCAAATGTAAGTGATTGATCATTATCAATTCCATCTATCAGCTTAACAAATCAAGCATCTAGTTCAATATTAATTCCATTAATTGGCTTATCAGATCTAACCACCAATTCACTATCTATAATCCAACCTCAAGGTCACCCTAAGCTATCAAATCTAGCCTCTAGCTCAGTATCAGTCAGTATCTCACTGTCATAATTCTGGTCTCATGTTCACTGGTAATATCCACCCTTACTTATTGTTTAATGTTCCCAGTGTCAATACTCAGCTCCCTTACTTACTGTAAACTATAATCTATGGCTCCCTGCTAGCTTACTTTGAAACACATCATCTAGCTTACTGTCATGTTTATATAAGAACCTCAAATTATTATTTCTATCTAGTTTACTGTAAAAAACACTCAAGTTTACTGGCAACTCGTTCTCTAGCTTACTGACAGTCTACTCGCAACTAAAAAATAGAGTTACCCCATAGATCCAGAGTGTGTGTGTGTGTGTGTGTCAAATGTCATTACCTAGGTAATTTTCATTCTATTCTGTAATGTTTTCTTTTCATATTTTTTTACTTCTGCATTTCCTTCTTTTTCATTTTGTCTTGAGTATAGTAGATTCAATAAAAAAATGGATGACTTGCAGAAGAAATTGGTTTTGATGAGAATGTATAGTAGTAATCTGTTGAGGATTGTACCATACATAGTGACACATGCTAGGCCATGTCGTCCACATTAGTATCCCTTTGTCTGAACAGACAATGCTATACCAGACCTATCTGATTGTCCACATTCTCTCGTCAGAGGCATACTTCTAATTTGTATGTAGCTTGTCATCTTCAAACACTGGGTCACTGGCTTTTGAGTTTGTCAGCATGGTGTTAAGTAAGATTTTCTTGATTCAGGTTTTATCTAGAACATGAATATTCAACAATTACTTTTTCCAAATTTCCTTGTAATCAACAAATTTCATCAGAATTTACATTTGTCATGCATTTCATATTTTGAATTCATCATTTTGATTTGAAAATTGAATTCATTTCTACATTTTTATCTCAGAAATGATTTCATAGACAGCAAAAAATCATACAGGTTTATTATGAATTAACATGTTTGAGAAACCTTGCATGTCAATAAGTGCTGGCTGTCCAGCCACTCTACCCGAAGTTGCAAGTGACGCCAGATTTCTGAGCCAATTGTGTCGCATATCTATCTAATTTCACAACTGACACGCTGACTCTTTCATTTGACGCAGGAAAGTACAAGGAGCTTAACCAATATGGAAGTCGGTGTGATTAATATCTTGTGTTGAACTTTAGAATTTAAGGAGGGACGAAAAGAAATATGATGACTCCAAGGATGTGTCATCGCCATGGAGATGAGTGATGATGAAATACAATAATTTGCATACATGTGACACTTTCATTAGCAAGTGTAT